GGCACATTTATATTTTATCATTCAGTGTAGAATAGATTAAACAAATTCATGAGGAACAACACTGCAGATGACCTGTTTCTTTTCTTTCTTTTGCACCCTTTTGCAGCTAATGAAAATGCTGTCATGAAGCAGGGTAGGAGAGAAATAACAAAAGAACGCCAATGTATTACTCTAGGAACATTGCTGCATAGAAAAGTACTATTCTTGCTCCTATGGGTGTCAAACTTGAAGACCTCCAAGGTCCTTCCAATATCATCATCATCATCATTATTCTGCAACACACTCTATGTAGAGTTGACCCTGAAGACAGTTTGGAAGCTCCATTCGACTCCAAGGGCAGGGGTCCATCTGCTAACCACTGGAAACAAACATAGCTACTGACATGGTCATTATACTGCTTGTCAATTATACTTCCAGGCCCAATTTAAAGGGCTGGTTAGAAATTTAAAATCTATACATGACTTATTTCCTGGATATTGAAAGACTTGGCCTGCCCCACAAATTCTTGAAGAGTGAGTTTGGGCAGGTCACCACTCCCTGTGCATTTTCTCAGCATCTGTCCTTATAACCAGGAACATCTTGCTTCCTGAAGTATGGAACTCCCCAAATGCCCTAGCCTTCAGGTAGCCACTAGGGAGTCGGCAAGTCCAACCAATGATATTTGGGCTATCTAACAATTATTTTACTATTAATCATTTTTTTAAAAAATATAGTATTGTATTTTTGGTACTTATAAAGTACCTTAAGACAATACACATAATGGCTATTACATACTGTTTATTTGGGCGCCCTTTTCATATTGTCTTTTTCTTCAAAATTATTCCATCAACTTTGGGATATCTCTCTTGATCAGGCTGCCACAATGAAATCCTTTTATGTTTAGACATTATTTTGCTTTTTTCCCCTTTTATTTCTTATGTCTTTAAGAACGGGACTAAATTGCCTGCACAGGATGTAACACTTAAACAAAGAAACAAATTAACTTTTAATAAATAACTTTTAAAGAGTTATAAATTGATTCAATTAACATTGTAACATGTCGATATGTGTCTTCCTTGGCACCAAATTATATTCATCATCCAGTAGGACTCTTAAGCCTCCCTCTGATCTATCCTTCTATACATACCTTCCCAAACCATCTCTCCTTAGTTCCCTCCTCCCTCTGGAATATAAACTGGAAGGAGGTCCTCTATATTGCCTTGCTCTGATTAGCAGTTCTATCACCTAATCATCAAACATCTGTACAGAGTTGAGTTTTTCCTTTATAGGCAATGTGGGATAGCCCACTCAGAGATCAGAAATCAGTAGTCCAACACTTCATACAATGCCACTGAAAGAAAAAACAGCATCTCTGGATTCCAAATATAATATTTTAAAATAATCTGATAAAATTTGTAATGTGAACCTGGTATTACAATGGAACAAGATAAAGTGGTTTAAATCTAGTGGAATTATAACAGAGGCATAATCAGAATCAAAACCTCTTTCCTTTTAGATAAGTCCATTAGCCACACAAGTTCTCTGAGCATAAACATATTAAATACATTTTTATTAATATATTTACTACTGTATGATTCTTACTCTGTTAGATTTCATGAAGAAAACAATAGGTGTAACACAAAAAAGCAAAAGCGTTCAGTGGCTCAAGATAGATGTCAAAACATGGTTAGCCTAAGTTAAATCAAATGTTAAAGCCAGAATAGGAACTGAGATATGGGAACAGATTAAAATAGTTTGGACAGATTGTTGGCAGTCACTCATGCCCTGAAGATAAAAGTTTATTTGGCCGTATGTGCAAAACTTCACTCTAGTCATTTGTCATTCTCTATAGCAATACATTTCTCAACTTTTTTTTCCTCTCAAGACAGGTAGGTTTTAGAATGTATGGTTTCTAAACATAATAGGAATGTTCAGAACAGGTGCCACAACTATTACAGCCTTATTATTCTGCAGCAGTCTGCTTGGAAAGAGATAGAAAGTGACACTTGAGCTGAATGGCTGAACAACAAAGTGATACCACATTTCTGTGTAATTTCAGAAGTTCAAAGTGTCAAATCTTTTCTACAAAAAGGTGCCAAACAACAATTTGCAATTAATTATGAGGTGTAACAGTAAAACAATTAAATAGAATTGTTAATTCAGTAGAATGTGTCTTCATTTTTATAATATTTTACCTAGATAGTTTATTGTAGAAATAAGATTTTTCCAAACCTAAGTAGATTCTGTACTTTCAGAATTGATGCTTAATTTGAGAAACCATAATCTAGGAAGTTGTATTCGTAATGAACTATAATTGTAACTGGAAAAATCCTGCTTTTAATATTTTCCACATTAGATATAAATATAAAACACAAATCAAGTGAATTTTCTTTAAACTGCTTAAATTATATTTAAATAACAATGGGAAGAGTTTTCATGAAGTTCTTAATATCAGCAAAACATTATTCATCAGTCACAATTACAACATGTATAAAAATAATTAAAGAGTTATGATTAATTTTTTTAAATACAATTAGCTTTATCATACAAATAGATTTTTAAAAAGTAGCCCCATAAGATTGGCTTATACATGTTACTTAATATAGCAAATCATTCTTTCAAAATTCTTATCAAGAAAGATACTACCCACCTGTTATTATGCAACACTAAATTCTAGATTCTATATTTTTATATTCTATATTTCTGAACATATATTGTATGTATAAAAACATACTTTAATATTAATATACAGGTAGTCCTTAACTTACAATCAGTCACTTAGCAACCGTTTAAAGCAACAACAGACACCACAAAAGGTGGTTACGACTTGGTTTCGAAGCTCTGATAACCAACCTCCTCCCCATAGCAACGTGACTGCCTTTCAGGTCCTTAGCAACCAGCCTGAATTCATGGCCATTTACAGCACCCTGTAGTCACCTGACTGCAATTTACTCCGTTTTTGCCAAATACTGACATTTATTTATGGTTTTGGGCAAAAATGCCCCATAGCAAACAATGGGTTTGCTTAACCACCGCACTGTTTGTTTAAAATCTATGAATTCACTTAATGACCATGGTGATTCACTTAACCACCACAAAAAAGTAAAATTGAATCAGTCAGGTGATGACTTGCTTTTTTACTGTCTCAACTAATGACTGTAATAAGCAAGCTCCATTATGGCTGTAAGTCAAGGACTCTCTGTATGTATTCTAATGTCAATATATCAGCAGCTCATTTCTCTGCAACTCTGCTTAAAAGTAAATGATACTAAGTATGATGTGGCTTATTTTATATTGAAATATCATTCGGACTGCAGAAGAAATCTAGAATTTGGAACAGAATGACTTGCTCAGATGACTTGCTCAGTGCCAGGAGTTAGACTAGAACAGAATAACAGAGTTGGAAGGGACCTTTCTAGTCCAACCCCCTGCTCAGGCAGAAAACCCTATGCCATTTCAGACAAATGATTGTCCAATCTCTTCTTAAAAGTTTTCAGTGTTGGAGCATTCACAACTTCTGGAGGCAAGTTGTTCCACTGGTTAATTGTTCTAACTGCCAGGAAATTTCTTCTTAGTTCTAGGTTGCTTTTCTCTTTGGTTAGTTTCCATCCATTGCTTCTTGTCCTGCCTTCAGGTGCTTTGGAAAATAGCTTGATTCCCTCTTCTTTGTGGCAACCCGAGATATAGGAACACTGCTATCATGTCACCCCTACTCCTTCTTTTCATTAAACTAGACATACCCAAGTCCAGCAACTGTTCTTTATATATTTTAGCCTCCAGTCCCCTGATCATCTTTGTTGCTCCTCTGTCTCAACATCTTTTTATATCGTTGTGACCAAAACTGGATGCAGTATTCCAAGTGTGGCCTTCCCAAGGCATTATAAACTGGTATTAACACTTGACGTGATCTTGATTCTATCCCTCCAATAATGTAACCTAGAACCGTGTTGGCTTTTTTGGCAGCTGCAGTGCGCTGCTGGCTCATATTTAAGTGATTGTCCACTAGGCCTCCCAAGATCCCTCTCACAGTTACTACTATTGAGCGAAGTGCCACCTATACTGTACTTGTGCATTTGGTTTTTCTTGCCTAAATGTAGACCCTTACTTTTTTCACCATTGAATTTCACTTTATTAAATAGCGCCCAATGTTCAAGTCTGTCAAGATCCTTCTGTATCTTAAGTCTATCTTCTGGAGTGTTGACTATTCCTGCCAGCTTGGTGTCATCTGCAAATCTGATGAATTCCCCATCTATCCCCTCATCCAAATCATTGATGAAGATGTTGAAGAGTACTGGGCCTAAAACAGAGCCTTGGGGTTCCCGATTGCATACTTCCCTCCATGTATATGTAGTTAATGATCAAGGCTTTGAAAAATCTGGAATTTCCCCCTAACCTGCAGATACATCAATCTTAATTCCTAGAAACCTTCATCTACATCAGTGGCCCCCAACCTTTTGGGTACTAGGGATTGGTTCCGTGGAGAGAGGTTTTCCCCGGACTGGAGGGGGCATGGTTTCACGTGTTGCCTGTATCCCACAGTTTGGGCTTCACTTGTTTCCGTGGACTGGTTTCTGGCATGCTGTGGACCAGTGCCAGTCCACAGACTGGGGGTTGAGGATGCCTGATCTACATAACTTGTGCATACCAAGGTTTCTAGGAATCCACATACACTTGGAGGACATAGAGGTAGAAAAAGCTGTTATATATACACAAGTATTTTGAGGTCTTACAATCAAGTTGTGATCAAAAATCTTTTTTAAGACGTCCATGTTTCCAGCCCACCAAAGCAAAGGGTGGAACATCTTTTAATTTCACACAACTGACAGAATGAAGTGATTTTGTTATCATGGCAAGGGAGATACTTCTGCTGCCAAAAAATGGGACAAGGTATGATCTTTATCTATATTGCAGCTAGTTGTTCATAAGCCAGCCAACATCAAAAAGGATCAGCTAAAGAAATCATAATATAGAAAGCTGATGCCAGATCACCCTCAAGCACCTGAGATTAGAAAATAACATACCTGTTTTTTCTGAAGTTCTTAGAAATACCATATCTGATGGAATTCGTTGATTCTGTTGGCAAAAAAAATCCAAAAATATTTCAATGTATAATTCCAATCAAATATCTCTCAGAGGTATGGAAGCAATTAAGATTTTATTTAGATTAATGCTTAATTAAAATTTAACTGGCTGAGATATATTTACCACTCAAAAATCAGATTTTTTAAAATAAATGACTAATTATTTATTTTTATATTTATTTATATTTCATATACATTTCATTTTATATTTATTTATATTTCATTCTTTTCTTCTGAAGCTATTATGGTGACTAAAAAGCAAATAATGGAAGTTCTTTTATCTTCTGTCATGTCAGAGAGAGAGAGACAGACAGAGAGACAGAGAGGAGTCAAGTGGGCAATTAGTTTGGAATCTTTACGTAGGCATAAGAGAGCAAGGTCATACACCCTTCCCCACAAATGCCATTGAACCTTATCTAGGTACAAGCTGTCTGTTTGGGAATTTCCTGTGAAATAGGCATGAGCACTAAAGTAGCTAATTGAATTCCTCATGTATGGACCTGATTGTTTGCACCTAACAGACATAAACTCTGTTAGCCTTAATAGATGAGAGACAATACTTATATAGTGATTTTTGCTGCCAAGGATGTTCTATAGAACCATATGTATGCTCAACAATCCATGCACATGCATGTGTTGGGGTGAAAGTAGGATACGTATACACCAAGATAAATAAACACTATCAACAGAATCTGTTATTCATTTAATTAGTGATTTAAGTATTAGTTAAAATATATTTAAGTATTTCATATACTCACTGTATAGGAAAGTGTACAATATTTAGTATTTCATTTATATAAAAATGTTTCTATTTTACAGATATTAGATAGAATACAATATGATCATAAACAGAATACAAATATATAATAAAAATTACACATAATCCTAATGAAACAAAGGGGAAACCAACAAAATCAACAGGAAAATCCTTGGGCAAAAAGAAAAGTTTGATACTAGTATAAAAAATCTAGAATGCTAATCTAAAATTCTAAAAGGGGATTTTATAATCAAAAGAGTTTGGAGAAAGCTCTCTGCCTTGTCAATACATATGTTTATTACAAACAAACAGTGTAGATAGAGATTGGAAATAATGGAGTAGTGATCTAGTACCAAAATGAGAAGTAATTCCCCCAAAAGTCATTCTAGTGACTTGAGGGTAATGGTATATACTAATACATCAGGTTATTTCTTAGAACAGTTTGGGTTTAGGTGATAAAACTGAAGCAGTTCAGATAACTATTTAAATTTTGTTTAGCTAAATTTTATTTAGTTCCTTTATAGTGGTGACTACTCAGGCAGCAGGATAATGTGAAGAGGAACATCATAATGATTTTGGATTCTCTATTTCAGTTCTGTGAGGTTGCCAGACTACTTTAAATCCTGCATTGAATTGTCTAAAGAATTACTGAAACATCAGAAAATTTAAACAACTTCAGAATCTTGTTATTTTTTTTCCGCTAAAAAAAATAAATGATAAAATTTTATTACATATTCTCAAACTGTACATACCCTTCCCCCATTTAACAAGAAGCCTTTTATATATCAAGGTGGAAGAAAAGGACAGGAAAAATATAAATCTTAGTGAAGAATAGAAGCTATGTTGTATATTCAATACTTGGGAGCCCACTATCTGCAAAAACTGAGAGGAAAGGCAAAAGGCAACTTCAGAAGTCAATAAATCATTCCTTAAATGACAAACATAAAATCAGATGCTCTGTCTTTATATAGATTAACTATACATCTTTACCACTTCTCTTTTAATGTTGACATAAACCTTTTAGTCACAACCCAAGTTACTAGCTTCATCCTTTAAAATTGTTGCCTGTTAACAAGCTGAAGCTTTGACAAAAATGCGCTTCCCACACATCAAACATGATTAATGTTACAATCCTCATTAAAGTGGCCAGATAGCAATCAAAACAAATGTTCATGTCTGTTACATATTTTAAATATTTGTCTTTCTACCAAAAAATAAATAGTTGTAGTCTCCTTCATGCTTAAATCGGTTAAAGTAAAAAATAATCCCTAGCATGGAGTCCTGGAAGCATATGAATCGACAGCATTTCTGAAACTAAACAAGCATGAACCAGGTTATCCCCTTGGATGGGACATCACACCGAACAGGGAGTTCTTGCTTATTAATCACTCATCAGTGACTATTCCAGTCAGAAAGCACAGTCATGATCGTATGTTTTCCCACTTAATGATCGCTTTGCTTAGTGATGGGAGTTGCCAGTACCAATTAAGTTTATTAAGTGAGAGCGATCTGTATACAAATTTAGAAATTTTACAGGTGGGAATGAAAGGAACACAGACAAAAAGAAAATCCTTCACATTTTTAGGAACAAACGTTTGGACAAAACTGCTTGCACTTTAAGTACAACTACTATAAAATCAATACTGACATATTGAAAGGTCATTCAGATGGAAACATATACCCTGTGTTTCCCTGAAAATAAGACTGGGTCTTAATTTTTGCTCTAAAAGACACATTAGGGCTTATTTTCTGGTTAGGTCTTATTTTCGGAGAAATACGGTACTAAATATGTCCATCAGTCTGACAATCTTAATTGGAGCTTATTTTTGGGATAGGGCTTATATTACAAGCATCTTGAAGAATCATGCTAGGGCTTATTTTCCAGTTGGGTCTTATTTTCGGGAAAACACGGTATGTATTTTCTTTAACAGTTTCTTCATTTTTTTTTGCTGACATGCTGTTGTTAAGAACAGTTATTCGAGAATCAGAAACTCTTTAAGTGCACTCCCTACTTTATGTGGAAAGCCAGCACCATTTAGGTCTTGTGCTGGGAGGAAATGACAAAGTAGCACTGAGTTAATGTGACACAAACTATATCCCTTCTGTATGTGCATGGACACACAGACCTATGAAAGGGTCAGAGTTTGCTTTGTGGTGATTATTTTGCAGAAATCAGTAGGTCCTGTTCTGCCATCCAAAAAGGTAATTTTACTTACCCAGGCAAACTGAGATCATTCCTTGCCAATTGCTAAAAACAACTCTGCCTTTGTGCAAGATAGGCTTAGAAATCAAATGATAAGGGCCCAATACTAACTACTATTGACTGGAGGCTTATTTGATTTTTAAGATTACTAAACATTTCACTTCACATAGTTGTTAGCTAATTAAATATATTAGATACATGCAGTTAAATTAACATAAATGAAATTAAATGGGTAAAATTAAAACTAATGATAGTGTGTGTGTGTGTGTGTGTGTGTGTGTGTGTGTGTGTGTGTAAAAAGTTCTTCATTTTTGTAGTCTTCACTTCCAATTCTCTAGATTGGAATTTCCCAAACTGTGAGGGGTTGAGCTGCTGCAGACAAAATCCAGGGAAGGTGTGAAGAAGTTTTTAGTTGTACACTGTGACAATAAATCCATTTTCCAAAAGTTTCATTGTAATGTTTTCATTGTTCATTTGTGTTCCTATTAGTCTCTGGATTTTTAAGGGAGGTGTGTACATTAAGATTACCCTAAAGACAGATGGCAAAAGGTTTAGGAACAGTGGCTTTAAATTAACATTATTTTCCATGCAAATACTGTATTACTCAGAGCATTGCTTTACATGTTTTTCTACCCCTCCAACATACAAAAATTCATGAAGTTGGAAAGAAATAAAAAGTATTTTAAAATCTGGATTAGCATTCTATGATAGTATACGTCATAATTCCAGCTCTAACAAAATGTGTTCAACATTCAAAAATATCTCAAGTAAACAACAAAAAAAATAATCTTCAACTTAAAATGCAAGGTTCATTTAAGGGTTTTCTGGTAATTGTGCTTACATTACTATTACTTATTTTAAGTACTTCAGTAGTTAGAATGTGCTATATTAAAATCAATATATTGATTTTAGGTAGTCCTTGACTTACGACCACAATTGAACCCAAAATTTCTGTTGTTAAGTGAAACATCTTTGAAGTGAATTCTGCATCATTTAATGACCTTTCTTGCAACAGTGGTTAAGTCAATCAATGCAGTTGTTAAGTTAGTAACATGGTTGTTAAGTGAATCTGGCTTCTCCACTGATCTTGCTTGTCAGAAAGTTGCAAAAGGTGATCACATGGCCCTGGGACACTGCAACTGTCGTAAATATGAGTCAGTTGCCAAGTGTCTGAATTTTGTTCACACGACCATGAGGATACTGCAACCATCATAAATTTGAAAAACGGTCATAAGTCACTTTTTTCAGTGAAGTTGTAACTTTGAATGGACCCTAAATGAACTGCTGTAAGTCGAGGGCTACCTCTATATGAAATCAAATAAATTAAGTATTTTATTGATTAATATGAGTATCTAAAATAATATTAGAAATTATTATATTAAATAATACTTTATTAAATTTGTGTGCCACCTGTATGTCTAATTTATAAAATTTATTTTATATGTATGTATGTATGTATGTATGTATGTATGTATGTATGTATGTATAAAACCAAAATAAACATTTTCAATTGTTCAAGTTCTACAATTTGCTGCATTTGAAGTGATCATTCTACTGATCAGGATTGATCTGTTTGATGGTATGAATTCCTGAATTCATGTTTAAATCTGATCCCCTAAAGCAGATGTGAGAAATGCACATGAATATTTATTTTAATGAAAACTGACTTGACAGTATAGAAGGGGCTATTTGCATAATTTTTCTTGGTTATGCAGCTTTATTGTCTTCTATTCCTACTGTCCTACTGATGGTGTAATTGACTAGTTAGTTATACTAGTGGGCTTAGTTTTAAGATGTGTCATTTACAGACAGTTAAAAGAGAACTATAGATAGATAATATATGCATTCCAGGAAACATTTTCAATTCAATAGTTCTCTTTAGTTTGACCTAGCCCTCTATTCCCATGAATGAATTAAGCCCTACATTTCTTTGAATTCTGTTTTAAAATCTATTTTTATCAACATATGTAGCTACTATATTTGCTATCATTTGCCTTATAGTGAGGAGAAAAGAGAGAACCGTACTGCAATGCCATGCAGGGCAAATCCAAAGTAAGTCTGCAAAATACATGACTGCCAGCAAAATACTGTCAATTTTGCGTTGTAATCTTGCAGTTTGAAGTAACAATGGATAGGTAATGTCCAGGACAAAAGAACAGAAAAATACATTTAAAATATTGATTAACCAAAAAAAAAGTTAACCTTTTCCACTATGATGAGGTCTCCAACTTGAATGTCTGAGCTTTTAACTTGCACTTTACCTTTAAAGAAAGAAGAAATTAATCAATATAAGCAATGATCTCGAAATCACAGAACTTCTCCCATTACATTCTGTCCTTCACAATTCATTTTGAATTATTGACCTAACATAGAAAAATGAGCTTAACATTTGAATGACTCATTTTAAAAATTAAATTTCGGTACTACAACTTAATGAAGAAGCAAGAAAAAAGAATGGGATTTTCAAAAACGTCCAATAAGCTGCCACTATTCTAAATGCATTTTAGATGTTATCAAGATACTGATATGTCAAAGACCTATCCAAAGGCTATATCAGGGGTAGGCAACCTTGGCTCTTTTATGACTCGTGGACTGAGCATGGCTGGCTCAGGAATTCTGGGAGTTGAAGTCCACGAGTCATAAAAGAGCCAAGGTTGCCTACCCCTGGGCTATATTGTCATGCTGTTGGAATAAATTACATGCTAATTTTATCAGTGCAGAAAAAAAAAATGTCTAGCAAGTTAAACAAAATAAAAGAAGTACAGGAAGTCCACAACTTACACCACAATTGGTAGTAAGGAACGTCTGTAGCTAAGTGGTCATTAAATGAGTCATTTGAGGTGATTTTATGACCTCGCTTGCTGTGGTCATTAAGCAAACCACTGCAGTCATTTAATGAATCACAATAGGCAATAGGCAAATCATGAATCCAGCAGCGAGAGGAATGGTTGTGAGTCACTTTTTTCAGCCATTCACAACTCTGAACAATGGTTAAACAAATGGCCATAAGTTGAAGACTTCCTATATTTGTGTCTCAGGCAGCTCAGTGCACTACATGTCTTCTCAGCTGACAGAATGTTTGACTGTAAAGAGATTTATTAGAAGATATTGTGAATATGAATATAGTCTGAAAAAGGATATTTCAATTATCAAATAAGGTAATCCTATAAAATAAACCTAATTACAAGATATAGGAAACCGGTTCTTTTATGGACAGTGTAATTGTTGTTAAGTCACAAACCATTTTTTAAAAAGGTTTTTTATTTTATGAAAAGTTACATGTAGGTACATAAAAAATTAGGTAACTCTATTTCAAATGTCCTGAGAATGTGAGTTGGATATTTAAAAAATAAATGTAAATAATATTTCAAGTTATCCCAGAATTATAAATTGTAACTAGAATAAATGCACTTCAACATTCCAATATTTTTCAGAAAATAATATTAGAACTGCTGTATTATATTTCCTATATAAGCACCACGAGAATTTATTCTGTTTAATCTTGCCAGAATTTAACAGCTGCAACGTATTTCCTTCCTACTTCTCTTTCATACACTGAAATCTGAAGCTACCCTTTATATTATATCAGATTTCCAGCAAATGCTGTTTTGAAGTCCCTAAAATTCAGTTTTTAACTTAATAGCCTAAATTTAATATTAAAAAATAATTCCTACCTAAGCATACCACAGCTGCTATCCAACCTCTAGCATCTTCTTGTTCATCTTAAGCATTGCTCCAAGAAGACAAATGAATTTAATGTTGACAATCTACCTATATTTCTACATCCCAAATAAAAATTGGGATGATGTCACATCCATTTTTGGAAAGATAATTCAAAATAGGATGATAGCTATTTATTCTTTTGCTACATTCTTTCTCAGAAAGCACTTGCATTCTGCAAGACCACAAAAACAAGCATTTGCAATATGAAATACCGTTTACAAAAAATATGTATATCAAGATATTATTCTAAAGCACACAATGTATACATTTGGCAGGAACATACAATTTCAGATTACTGTTATTCATGTTCCTTGTCTGAAGTGAGGTTGGTAGAATGTGTCTTAGCAATTAGCAATTATATGTATGAAAACCTTAAGGTATCAACAAGCTTTTTATCTATCAGAAAAAGTAATCACTGGATACCATTTCAGAAAACAAAATATATATTATAACTTTGAAAGGATAATTTGGAAAACTATCAAATGCTATTCACTGCATAAATTATTTTTGTAAACTATTTTTCCTTTGAAACACATCTCAGAAACTAAAAACACTCTTCACCATCTGTGTAATTGCCAATAAAAAAATCCAAAGCTGTCAGAAGTGGCTGCATATTCAAGCTTTATGGTCCACCAAGGCACAAGCCTTTGCCTAAAGCCTTATGTGCAACTAGAACACAATTAAGTGCTTATCATAATTCATTGCACATGAACAGCTCAAGAAGGATTGTAAAATAAATAAAATCAACATATATGAATACAGCAGAATATTTCTACAATGAAAATAATCAACATCATGCACACACTACAAAGAATCATTATAACTTGGCCTTGTTAATTACCTTTAGGTCTCTGTAGCTATTAAATTTAATGTAGCATACATACTTCAAATAAATTAATCAAAACAAAGACATAATCCGTAAAATTCTCATTGTTAAATTTTTGGGATTTGCAACCTGCCTTTCCACCTCACAATCAAATGCAGAAAGTAAATAATATTAAACACTAATGCAAACATATAACAAAAGTATGTCACAACTTCTATCTTAATATAAACTTCTGAAATCTGGATCAAGCAACTGAAGCAATAAGACATGCGTGTGATACAAATATAAGACAGAACCACAGACACATTAGGAATTCATTACTATTGATGAGCTGATGAAGGTGAAGTAGGTATTTACTCTGAAATCAAGAAACTTCAAGAATTATAGTTATAACTTTTGTAGTGACTTGTTAATAAAACTATGAAGTTGGAAACGGGTATATCAAAAGTTAAATGTTGCCCAAAGCTTCCAAGCTAATCCAAAATTGTTGCCATAGCTATTCAATATTAAATAAGTAGGAATAACGACAAATCTATTTGTGAAAGGATCTTTGTACATAATCCCACGAAACTGATGTTTCTTCATACAAATCAAAATATTTTGTAAAAAAGACAGGAATTCTGAAGAAGAAACCTAATTTTTGAGTCCAGCTTGACTGTTTTTTGGGAGGAAGAAACTTTTTAAAAACACTGTTTTAATGAGTAATCTATTTTTTTTATTAAACAATGAAAAAATAATTTTCCATCCTCACCAACATTTTTTCCACAAAAGCATCAGCGAGACAATACAAATAAGAGCTAAAGTCTCCATACAAGCAATAACAAAAGCTCTTGTGATGTCAGTTAAAAGCTAATTGCTCATACAGTACATTTAGAATGATAACCTGTTGCAATGAAACTCTTTACATGTAGCAAATAACTTTGAAAATATCAGCCACTAATTTACTTTCTTCCTAGGAGATTTTATCAAAAGATTCCATTTTGTATTTCATCCTTAGGTCATCTCTGTTTTACTACCCAACCCAAAATTTTAAGAAAACAAAATTCTTATTTACCTATTCAGATCAATCTTGTTCAGATGTATTTTTACAAATAAATTGGGATACTTGTTAAATAATTATGCTCTGTGTATTAATTTTTGTATTAATCAATCAACCTTTAATTTAGTCAAAAACCAACATAAGGAGAGTGGGGTACAAAAAATTAAAAACATTAAAAAAAAATAAAGTTATACTAAAAGACTAAAAGGTATAAAACAAAAATCTAAAAAAATGAAAAAGTCTAAAAAGAAAAAGAAAAGCAATAAATGAGCATTAAAAACACAATAAACTAAATCTATCATAATATAAAACTTTCTATAATGGTGGTCTAGTTGCTCATTAAAAATGATTTGTGACACAGGCCTTCTTTTGACATATTTTAAGAGCTGCCGCACACAACCAGCAGCAGGGAGGTGTAAAATTGTCCTATGTGCCCTGGGTTTTATGCATAATAATGAAATGATGTTAGTACAAATGTTGCTGTAATATAAGAACACTTCTTAAAATAATTTTACAAGCTCTGTTTTTTTTAGCAGCAACACACATTCATGTACCACCTGAGTAGTAATATTCTTCAGTATTCCCCACCGCACAAAAAATTGGCAGCTGATTCTTACTAATATATGGGTTTTCCGAACTCTAAACTTCCGGAACAGTTATGGAAGCTGCATCTAATATGGGACAGATCTGAAGCTGTGTGATACAAATAAGCATTGCTATTCCATCAACAGAATGACAATATTGGATTCATTAATGATGAACTCAATTTCTTAATACCCAGCTAAAGTGACATTGCCCAGTATGCAATATTTATTTTAGTTATATAAGAAGTATAATCTGTTGTTTTCCTTTCACAGTATCAACCATGCCTGAACAAGCTGTGATCTATTTTACTGAAGGGAGTCCATTGGCAAACATGATCAATTTATATCAGTTTGCTAACCACTTCTTTTTGATTTCTGCCTGAGACTGAATCCTTAGCTAACAATCATTTGGTAGATGGCAGTATATAGATTATATGCTGTATGTGACATACTGTAAGTCAAAAATCATGCAAGCCTGGTTTAACTGTAAATGATAGAAGCTACAAGGTAGAATGTTGCCCAGGATTCATATAAAAAATGATTGCTAACCTCGTACTGTAAGTTTGCTATATAATTGAGAATTCATTTCCTTGTCTCGCTTATAACGACGAAATTCATCAACTGCTTCCCGCAGAATGGTGACAGCCAAAACAAATCCCTGTTTAAAATACAACAGACATTTCCTTAAATGGAAAATATTTCCACTAAAAAACACAGAACATTTTACAGTAAATTTGAAAACCATGGGAATATATTGATTTCAACAGGTATTTTAAGGGTGTTTTAAAGAATGTGTCAAAATCTGAGCTTAACCAATCAATCTAATACCTATACAAAAATCCAAGGATACTATTTGACAGAATCTCTTTCCTTCAAAATAATTTACATCTATAACAATGGGATGACCCAAATACAATAGCAAGTCTTAATTTTCTGCTCTCTGATTAAGGCAGGTAAAGACTTTGAATGAATGAGTTCTGCCATCTCCCCTCTTTCCATGTTTGAGATAAACTAGCAAATATTATTTGTGTAGCTCCCACAATTTGATCCAGATTAATCAATCTGAAGAAAAAAAAACACCATAAAATAATTGATTCATATTAAATAACAAAATACTGCCTGCCTCAACTGAAGAAAGGAGACAAGATATGTGCCTAAGGCTAAAATAAATAATGCCAAACAATAGTTTTGATACAAAGTCTGAACCATCTCCTGATCTCCACAATGAAAGTGAAACATATGGTAAAAACTGGCTAGTGTGTTTCCCTATAAGGAAAAACAAATATGGACATGGCTATTTCTTTTAAAAGATTTGTTTTGCTTCTAACTTTAAGATAACCTAATGTTTGAAGTGACTAACAGACATAATCTCTTATTCTGAGAAATCAATGGCATTTCCAAACAAATGTGTAACATTTGTGTAGCATTTGTTTCTTCAGCCTGAAACAGCAGTGAATGCTAGAATAAAAGTAGTCATCTAAGAGCTAATGCAATTCTTGAAATGTTATCTGGATCCTAGTGATTTTACTTAATTGTAATTGTGAAGTTTAAACAGTTCTTTTCCTAGAAAGAAGCTGGCTTCTTAAAACAATCCAGAAAAAGTTGAAAAAGTTGCCTTTGAGACACCTAGATCTGGATGACTGAGAATCTCCACAAATAGAACTGATAGTTTAGAATGCATTTGTGGTTTTTGGACATGTTGTTATTCTTTTGGATCTATATTGTGAGCCACTGTCATAGCTAGGAATAAGCAAATAGTGCAGAAATATGTTAAATAATTAACATGCATACCCAACTTTTCCTGTTAGAAAAGAAACAATACTCAGGTCATATTTTGGGGTCTCCTGAATCAAATAATTTTAATTCTCATTCGAATGTTTTTAATTTCAATTCACATGAAATTAACTTCAATCCACAATCTCCTTCATCTAATAATATGAGCTGAAATACATGTATTTTAATAATATATTAAAAGCTTTATGGAAGCTTTGTAATGTAAATGTTTCTTGACAGCTTCCCTAACCTTTGTTATTTTTAGCAAATGAATTTATATTGAAAACTTCCCACTTTCAACTCGCCTGGTTAATTGTAGACAAAGATAACTTGCTTGCTTAAATGTTATGCTGGTGCAGGAAATAAGATCATTTGCAAGAACAGGCAAACAAGTATGATTTTTGAAAAATGAAATTAAGTTAGAAAAATGTTTTTTCTTTAGGAAGTTTTTTATACTTTCAGAGTATAAAAAGAAATTTTAGAGTTCAGTTTACTCCAAATGACGTATACTTCAAAAGTAAAAGTATACATTTAATGTCCTTGTGGGGTTTTTTGGCAACAATATACGAGTAGTCCTCGACTTACTACAGTTAGTTTAGTGACCATTTGAAGTTACAACACTGAAAAAAGTGACTTATGACCAATTTTCACACTTATGACCGCTGCAGCATCACCATGGTTACGTGATCAAAATTCCGACGCTTGGCAACTGACTCATATTTATGACAGTTGCAGTGTCCCAGGGTCATGTGATCATCTTTTATGACCTTCTGATAAGCAAAGTCCATGGGGAAGTCAGAAGCCATTTTATAACTGTATTACTAACTTAACAATTCTAGTGATTCACTTAACAACTATGCCAAGAAAGACCGCAAAATGGGGCAAAATTCATTTAAGAAATGTCTCATTTAGCAACAGAAATCTGGGGCTGAATTGTGGTTGAGGACTACCTGTAATGGCTTACCATGGACTTTTCCTTGAATGTTTTTCTGATTTCCTAATCTATTGTGTGGCCCTGATATTTTCTGGTAATCCTATATCCAAATACAGGCAGGGTTGCTTAGACTGAATTTAGGGCTTGGAGTTAGTAATGACATACTGGCTAAAACTATTTTTTCCTAATTGGGCCATGGCATTTTTGGCTATAGCAGATCGCTCATCTTCACTATCAATGGAAAATAAATTGCACTGAATTAACCAAAGAATGCTGTCTTTCTGCTGAGCTGAATTAATTGTCTATCAAAGGCTGGAGTACATCAAACTTTAAACCAAAACTGGTTTCTTAATATGGTACTTTTAAGAATATTCAATAAAGAATTATCCGAGTGCACTAACCACCTGTTTAAAAAAAAAAATCAAGCCAGAGCCAACATCTTACCCGTAGCCCTTTTGAGTGGTAATAAAAATTCCAATATTTGAACTGCCCATTCCTCACCTTATTTAATCCCCCAAATACTTAATTTAATTAAAGAATGTAAATTATTCTTTTTTTTGCATACAAACTACACTTTATTTAAAAGACACTTTTAAAAACTGTCTTAATCCACATTAATTATGCTTAAAAGATTAAGAGGGAAAAGCTACCCCATCCCTCTTTCCCTCACAGAATCATGTGCTCCATTCCCCCAGCTCATTCAAATACCCCAATCTATATAAAGGTTATTGCCATGGTTACAATGAGTTGAATGTTAATTATAGTGTTAGCTTTAAGAGGAATGCTAGTGATTACATTTATCTAAATACAGTCAAAGCAACAACCCAGGCAAACTAGTGTCCTTCAGGTATTTTGGCCAACCCATTCATCCCTGTCCACATAGTCAAAATATTTGGAGGCCACATTAAGACACCAGGAATTCAAAAGAGAAAGGGAAGAAAAATGTAAGGCTGATGAGGGATACTTCTGATCTCTCAATCGTTAACAGTGAGGGCTTAATCTCCTGACCCTCTCTGACATGTGAAAACTAGCCTGCTCATTATCTAAAGAAACAAAATAGTTTTTACAGCTTTTGTATTTACCAGAGGAGCCCAATAGGTGTAGAGGTAGCCTATTTTCAGTGCCGGTACAAACTGTGAGCAGGAGACTACCAGAAAATAAAGGTTCAAGAAAAACTTGAATTGTTCGTATAAAACCTAGAGTGAAAGAAACAAGAAAACCATAAAATGGCACTAATCATAGCTGATTATGGTGGTGCTTCATTTAGGACTTGAATACTTTCTTCTAACCTAAAAGAGACTAACAGAAGAATTCTACCTTCTATCTAAGAGAATTAATATTTATCATTTATATACCATTTTTAACATTAAAAAGCTAGACATAGATTGCTTTGGTAATTCTTATAAATCAACTTACAACATTGATATAAACTCTACCTTATAAATAGGGCTCAGAAAATAGTGGTTTTGCTAACACAAGAACCTTTTAAGCATACAGCTTGTATGCTTTAAGCTTGTATCTAGTTATTATTCAAGAAACCAATGTAATAAAAATCATATCCCAGTTTTCTCTAATGTTGTGTATCTATTAGCACTAAAATAATGGATACAGGAAAGAAAAGTACATCTTTTTTTCCATACAGAGTACAATTATAAGAGAAAATAGTATGTGACACAAAATAATTCCTCTGAATTTATTGTACTATGAAATTAGCATTATATAACTTGTCACTCTGTTCGGCCATTATCCCCCAACTACCTTTAGAAAAAAATGTTAATACTGTAATTGATTTTAAATACATTTCCATTTTTATTATGAAAATAAAGAGTGTTACCAAAAGACTGTAGGTGGGTGGAACACATTGCAATCAATGTAAGCTTCAGACAAACCAACATATTATGGAAATTTCAATACAAGGAAAGTCAAATTGGTTTAGTAGTTATAACTAAACTACAAGCAGAAGCTAAGAACTATGCTGGAGCAATACTGTGTTTATATTTACAATGAAACATAATTATTTTCTTCTAGAATGTTTAAATTCTCATATAAATTAATCTCAGCAGGGTAACAATATTTTCTTCCTCACTACTAATTAATTTAAAATCTCAGTTAGCATCAATTAATAGCTCAGTAATTGGTATTCATACTAAAGCCAGAATAGAATTCCAACTGTGCAATTACAAAATGCTTTCGAATTGCTCCATTTCCTAAGGAAAAGTTTTAAGAAAAAAATATTCGAAGGCTAATAATGCATCTGGGTATGCCAACAGGTGTTCACAAATCAAGCGAGATCTTTATAGGCATTAGGATTCTGCCTAAACCACTGAAATACACATTGTGCATTTAACTATAGTAATCAATGACTAAATATATATTTAATGACCTTTAAATGTAAATAGACAAAATGCAGGTTTCATGCAAAGATGAAAATATTTGTCTGCATGAAAACAGTTGACATTAATACTCAAAAGAAAACAGATTATGAACTCTTTTTTTTCTCTTTTTAATAAGGATCGGGGAGGGGGAGTACTAGAAATATTCATGCATGTGATGGTTAGTTGAATAGCACTGGTAAGTAGGGGTAGTGGAGAGAAAACCAATGCATAACAATTAGAAAATCTGCATTCTTATTGAAATTAAGATTTGAAAGTCGCAGCATTCTTGTCAACAAAAAAACAAAGCAATTTATTACTGCAGTAAAAGGCACAGTATATAATAGCCTGTTTATTTTATACTCATTGAAACACCTCTCCCTTAAGAGTTACTTTTCAGTCAAATATTAAATTAGAAAGTACAAGACTAACTACCAAAAGAATCAATGCTAAAGTCATAATAGAATTTAGTGAAATTAGTCAAAGAACAAAAAATGCCAAACTGTGCCCTTTTGTGATTTGCACAAATTGTATTACAACAAATTATTATTGTCAGTACTGAAAAGAATTCTGCATCTTGAAAACCATAATAAGCAAAAACAAAATCTGAAGGGACAGGAATGTTATTTTAAACTGGATTTACTTAATAAGGGGTTTTGTTATACGCCTATAGTACACATAATAGGCAGTACAATATATGCTTTTCATATATAAAAGGAATTACTATATTTATGGGTTTTCTTGTAATCTGTACCACTAGCCATACTGGAAAATGAGGTTTATAACCATTTATTCTGCATTTAAAAGAGGGTTACTTTACTCATGGACACAAAGGGGAAAAAAGTTCTTTCTCTCATAACCCACAACTGAAATGTTACTCTGACATACAGTTTTACACAATTGTAAAAAGGACAAATTAACTCTTAAGAAACTCTTAAATAAGAGCATATGAATGGTTTTTACAACCGTTTTAGAAAATAAATTTGGTCAATTTGATTTCTGAACATTGGTTATATCTTCACTAATGTATAAAATGTAGCATATACATTTCACTTATTATACAGATTTAAATACACACTTAAAAAAAAATATTAAAATTTATTTTTCTACTTCTTCCCTGACAACTTAAGCCATGCATCTGACATGTTTGTATAGTTTTTAGCTGAAATTGTTATTAAGAGGAATTTTTATTTATACATACTGCTGGCACAAAATATTAATTACCAAATATATAGGCAAGACCTAGTTAAAAATTATCACATATTTAGAACATCAATAATATTTATGGTAACTGTTTTTAGTGCTATATAATCAGTCACTGATTTTAAAAGATGTTGTTAAATTAGCTGTAATCAGCGCAATATTTCATTTGTTACATAAAAGTTATTTCTTTTAAAAACAGATTTTCAGTTTTGGAAGACTAAACATAGAAATCAGCTTTTAATCCCACTTTGCTCTCAGTTACCTCTTTCTTCGTACAAAAAAAAATCCTCTGTGTGAAACTATTACAAGAAACTAGATGTTCATAAATATCATGTGATAATACTGTAAAATACAATATGCATATACATATAACATGCAAATTAAGTGTATCTTTAGGTTACCTTACCCCAGGTATAAATGTAAAGAAATTGTATTTTTGGTTTTTTATAGCATTTCTTGGATACTTTTCTTCACATTTTTCAGGACATCCAAGCCATACTGTGCGCGCCTTAAGTTCTTTTTTCCTCCGGCAAATGTTTATAAGCCAATCACAGCAACTGCAAAAAGAGAGAGGAGAGAGAGGAGAGCCATTGTCTTTTATTTTCAACAACAAGAAATCTTACAACTCCTTAAACATAACTTGGGAGTTTTCTTATGTGGACTAGAATCATTCAATCACACACAGTGGAGAACTTACTCTGTTAAAATTAACTAAATGATCCTTAAAATGTTATTCTAATCCAAATGAAAAATTGTTCATTTCTTGGAAGTGGAGCAAGTCAGTATGATATGAGGAAACTACTGGATTACTAGTAGAGACACACAAATTCAAGTCCATCCTTAGGCAGTGAAATTTACTCAATGACTTTAGCTAATCATTTTCTGTCAGCTGCTCAACAGTTGAAAAGATTCTAACCTTGATTCTCAGAATATTCATCGAAAGATCTGGGCACAGCTACAAGGGATTTCTGATATTTCTACCTACCTTCCACATTATAACTACTCCAAAAAAGTTTATCCTTTTCTAGGTCCCAGTGTTTCAGAGCATGAAACAATGCAAACAGAAGTGAAATGTTCTTGTATATGTAACACCATTTATAACCAGGCGGTTAGTTATAATACTAGGACAAAGTAGTACTGTATTAAGATTAATAATAATCTTGGTTGAAATCTAACAGCAAATTTAACATGCTTCAAAAATTATACGTTATTATACAGCTCCTCAATGGAAGGAGTCAATTCCTCAATGGAAGCCTGCAAAAAGACACAACTGCTTCAAAGAAGCACTGCACTTACATCTTAATATTGTTGGAATAATTTTCAAACATGCAGCATTGTATAATATAATGTTATCCTTCCTTATGGTTCTATTGCTTTAGCCATGTTCTTCCTGGCTTGTAGAATCTGAATGACAATTTTCTTTTTCTCATGTGCATTAATTCTCGATTTTATAAATTTAATTCACAGTTAAATTTATACACTGTAAATTTAATTATAAAATTAAAATGCAAGGCTATAACTAGGCAGAATTAAGATGAATGATTTCACTACAAATGATGAATGATTTCATTACATCTGTGCATAAGCATATAACCCAATGTAATTTGTATACAGTTTGGTTTGAACCTGGGGCTAGATAGATAATTTTCAAATCAAGTTTTAACAGCTAATAATAATTTTATAGTGATTTTAAGCTAAACCTTATTAAAGTAAAAAAGATAATGAAAACAAATTAAACATTAATTGCTTTATAATTAAATAATTACAAAATATAATTGCTAGAGTGCAATCAAATAATAATGTATACAGTTTTTACACCAATCCTATTTATTACTTATGAGAGGTATTAAAATCTTCTTTATACAGTATCTGTAAGTAAAGATGGACTCAGATAGGTGAAAAATATTCTCTCAGAAGTAACTCAAGCCTTTAGAAAGATGAGAAATATTCCTTGCTAAAGCTGGAAAAGATAAAAAATGTTTCTCTGAACTTTTTGAAGTTCAGCTGGACAATGACTTCCTTTATGGAACAAATTGTTTAGTTAACACTGCAGTCCTAAATATACTTTTTTTCATTCTGAGCATAGTATCATAGAACATTACCAGGGATGAAATGGGTGAAAATGAAGAAAAAAGAAGTGTGATACTTTTTTGTTATGAAGAGCTTGGAAGATTTCAAAAGTCATCATATTACTGGGAAACCTGAGATTTAAGCAACAGAAAAGCAGTAGGATCTACATATTAATGATTCAGGTTGTCTTGAGTTTGATAGGCAGCTCAAATATTTCTAAACTCTTTTCTCACCCTCAATGTTGCTCAATATTCATAGCTTCCTTGAATACTGCAATAAAGAGGCTAATGACTTTAGTTAGGAATAAACGAAAAAATATAATACAGTATCCTGATGCTTATTAAAATGGTCTTAGAAATTATTCTATGTAGCATATAAACAACATAGTTAATGATTTCTCCTATCATTATAGGGTTTTAACATGGCATTGAGTTGGATAAAATTAATTCATAACCATGGAATATCTACTAGCATTATGAGACCCAGTTTGGTTCAGGTTAGTCTAAGGCAGGGGTAGGCAACCTTGGCTCTTTTATGACTTGTGGACTTCAACTTGGCTCAGGAATTCTGGGAGTTGAAGTCCACGAGTCATAAAAGAGCCAAGGTTGTCTACCCCTGGCCTAAGGCATCAGGCTAGAAATTGGGAGAGTGTGAGTTCTGGTCTTACTTTAGGCATGAAACCAGATGGGTGACTTTGGCTACTCACACAAACATATTCTCTCTCTCAGCCTTAGCAAGGAAGCAATGGCAAACCACTTCTGAAAAAACCCTTCTCAAGAAAACTGCAGGAACTAACTAGTCTGTGCAGTTGCCAGGAATCAAAAAGCTGAATGTGAAGGGATACACATATACGTTCACTATAGTTCTTTCAATATCTTGCCCAGTTCAGATTACAAATCAGAATATTTTGAATGAAGAGCCTTTTACAAATGGAGGATGATCATGCAACCCTTCCACCTTATCCTTTTCTCCCTCCTTTACAAACTTAGGCAGCAAGTAACACAATCGACTTAACAAACACATTACAAATACTTGAACAAAGTTTGACACAGCTCAGCGGTTGTGATGTTTCTGAGAAAAGCTGATTGGCACTTAAAGATAAGCACACTTTAAGCCTTCAGATGCACTGAGGTCTCACCGATGGAAATAATTATAGATTTTGACAATTCAATGCTGAAGTATTTATTACAAGCAAATGGGTTTCAATACTCTAAAAACCTACATCATTAGTTCATTTCCATGCAGAAACAAAATAAGTCCTTTCATTTTCTATGGAAATGTTGTTGTCTCCTTTTGGCCATGTTTCTCTGACCAGCAAATTAATGAAGGCTTTTCTAAATAAGCAACAGCATTTAGTTATATTCAGAGATAATATATTGTTGGAATCTAAGGATTAAAAACAACTCTAGGAATAAAATATTCATGTTGCTAATAAAAGGTACTAGTGATAGTTATTTCTCATAAATTTAACGTAATGTAAAAATTGGAACACGAGGTATAAAATGTTTATGGCTGCATATCTACATTTACTTACTATCCAGCTTTTAAAACAAATATTTATTATGAAGCTTGTGACAAAGCCAGCAAATTCTACAGGGGGGGAAAAAAGACTATTTGAGTCAACTTAGTACAGAAAACTGTGGATAACATCCAATGATATCTCTCTTATGAAGAAACACAAAAGATTCCTCCCTCCCTCCAAAACTCCATGACTCCCAACCTTCTGGCCAAGATTCAGAGTGTGATTCAAAGTGTGAGAGCAGCAGCATAAAGATACAAGAGTTTCCCTAGTTCAATCTATTTGCACCTATTAGTTTATCTATTTATGTACAGTATGCTCAAAGACCAGGACCATTATAAGAAACAAATAAACATAGCATAAAAAACAAAAAAAATGTTAACAGCTTATGCAGCAATATCTCTTGGGTGTTTTGGCTAAGGGCAAGTATAGTATCTTTTCTTAGTAGTTTATTATTTGCACAATCTGTATGTATTATCTGAAAGCCAAAATGCAGCCTAAGTGGTGTGCGCAAACCAGAACTTCATTAATTGTATTTTATTTTACTAAAATAAACTGTACAAAATAATATCTCAATGAACATTTTAAAGAGTTCTTTTGTTTTAGTTTACTATTAGGCAAGTTTATTGTTGTCTCATGTATACAAGCATATACAGGGTATACCTAAAGTCAGGCCCAATAGATAATTCATTATATAAATTACATTAACTGTTCAAATAGGTTGCCCTTTTCTTAATACTCCTTATTTGTTTTATGCACAATCTTTGAGCATTCCTAAGTATAGTAACATGAAAAATAGCAATTAGTAAAGCATACTGTGGTTAATCTATGCGGCCTAACTTTTGGTATGCTCTGTATATTCCAGTATGGTCTATGATCCATAATGGAGGGTTCCTCTGGGAAACAAAATAGGCTTGCTAAAATCTATGAATAACTTTTTAGAGTGATAAATACAAGAAGGAAGAATAAGTTCCCCAGTTTGTTTCTGGAAGGTTGCATTTTAAAAAATCAGCAGTTATTAAATAAATCTGATACTAAACCCCCATGTTTCTACACAACAAATATGTTACACTTTAATGAAAGTGTATATAGGCCATCTTAAGAGTACAAATTAATCCAAGTATTTGGTATCCCCTTCATTTCAAATGGAAATGCCATTCAGTAGCATCATTTTAATAGGGATAAGGTGTTTTTATAAGAAATGGAATGTAAATCTCTTGACAAAAAAAATCAATCCAGCCCAAAGAACTCTAGAGTATTGATCTACATGCATTATAATTTCTCTAGCTAAAAGAGAATGCCCAAATTAAAATGAAGAGAAATAATTACAGCTAAACACTCATTATTTTCACAGGCTTTAACAGTTATAAAGATAGGTTGCAAATAATGCATTTTTCTGAAAATTAAATGCTTTACAGATCACTGAAATCAACATGTTTATACAACCATGTTTGAGTAAAGTGAGATTTCATATAAAAAGAAGAATTATAGTTATCATACTTAACAAAAGAATTGCTCAGTTAAAATTCTCATTCCAGAGAATACTTTTATGCATGCTCTTAATATGGTACAGTCAATGAAAAATATATGATCAATAAATACTACACAAATTCACAAATGAACCAAACTTCTGTGCTGTGACTAGTTAAAATAGAATGATTTTTTTCTTTTTACAAATTACCCAACCTCAAGAAAAAGGATTAATTTAAATCATATATGGAGAAGACTCTCTAACAAAAGCTTATTTTCTGAAGTAGAAAAGAATAAAATACATAAAAACTCAATAGACAAAAATGATCTAGCCCAGTGATGGCGAACCTTTTAGAGACCGAATGCCCAAACTACAACCCAAAACCCACTTATGCATCGTCAGGTGCCGGGTGGGTGTGGCCCATTGTGTGGGCGTGGCTGCGGTGGTAACAGCAGACTGGGTGGGACTAAAAAGTTCAATCAATCAATTCCAACTTT